CATCCCTATTTGTTTGTATAATCCAGAATCCGTTACTGCTGCTGAGTAACTCAGATCAACTCATTTCTGTCTACATGGTTCTTTTTTCAGAAACAGAGACATCATCCAAAGCATTTTAGTATCTCCTTGTCTTTAAGTGCTTCGGCTTGCTGAATCAGATGCTGACTTTTAAACAAGTTCAAGATAATTTCTTTGAAGGAGTCATTCTTCCTTTTGGGCTAGAGGAACAGAGCAAGCAACACCTGTCCCCCTCTAAACCCTGGGCAGGGGTGTACTTTTCACCCAGGAAATTTCAGATTTCAACAATGGAGCCCAGAGTCATGCTCTTGACTGTGGTCCAGGACTGGCTACACAGAGCACACACATAAAAAAGGAACAGTAGTCGATTCCTTTCCATTTTCCCACTAGCCTTTTTTTCTTTCTGAGGAGATGGTGTTTTGGTCTCTGTCCCTGATCCGAGGGAAATTTCTGTTATACCACTCTCAGCCTGTGAGCGTCTGACCTGCTTGCTTAGAAGATGAGAAGACAATTTGTAAAGAAACACTAGGCCTACACCTGTTCACCACAACTTTGGTTTTCTGAAGACCCACGTTTAATTGTCTTACTCATTTTGTCCCATTACCTGCAGAAAGACGAGGCCTTCTGTGCCTAAAGTCTTTGGAAAATACAAATTCCTGGTTAACTCTGTCATTGACTTGAAAATAAGTATTACTTTTATTACTTCTTGTGTGTGGGGGGTGTGCATAACTTGGAACATGTGTGGAGGTCATTTGGTTCTCTCCTTCTACCATGTGGGTCCCAGGATCAAATTCAGGTCATTAGGCTTGGAAGCAGGCCCCTTATAACTAAGCCATCTCCCTGGTCCCTCAAGTATTGCCAATGCACCCTCAACTTAATGGGCGCCACTGGATTTATTTTTCCTGCTACTGGGGATTGAACCCAGAAGGACTTTATACATGCTGGTCAAGCACACTGCTACTGAGCTAGATCCCTCAACAATGTTTTCCCTTCCCTTCCCTTCCCTTCCCTTCCCTTCCCTTCCCTTCCCCTCCCTCCCTCCCTCCCACCCCCTCTCTTGTTTATTGTTTTTGATTTTCAAGACAAGGTTTCTTGTGTAGTCCTGACTGTTCTGGAACTTGCTCTGCAGACCAGATTGACCTCAAACTCATAGAAACCTACCTGCCTCTGCCTCCCAAGTGCACGGATTAAAGGCGTGCGCCACCACTGTCTGCTGCTTTATTCCTTGACTGGATAAGAAGAAATCTGAAGAAATTTCCTATTTGTTGGCATGGGCAAAAGTGTCCACAGCCCCTACAGTTCAGGAAGTGAATGCTAAGCTGGTGTAGTGGGTGGCAAAGCCAGGGAAGCCAGGATGCCCTCTGCTCACAAACTACCTTGGGGCCAAATCATACTTCTGTGGCTTAACATAAGGGGTCAAAATCCCCCCAGTGGTGTTTCACAGAGTGTAGGGCTATGGAGTCCATGTACAATAGAGATCAGAAACAGAGACTAGACAGAGTCATGGAAACTGTAGGTTTGATTTGGGAAAGAGAAGCCAGTAGCCAGGTCCTCCAACCGCTTTTAAAGAAAAGAACAGATTGGAGAACAGATGTGCAGGTGTGTGTGCTGCATAGCTTTATGGCAACTTGACATAAGCTAAAGTCATCCGAGACACATAATCCTCAATTGAGAAAATGTCTCCATAGTATTGACTGGAGGCAAACCAGTTAGTTATTGATAGGGAAGGTAGCGCATGGTGGGTAGTGACATCCCTGAGCTAGTGGTCCTGGGTTCTATAAGAAAGCAGGCTGAGCAAGCCAGTAAGAAAGCATCCCTCCATGGTTCCTGCATCAGCTCCTACATCCATGTTCCTTTCCTATTTGAGTTCCTCTCCTGACTTCCTTCAGTGATGAACAGCAACATGGAAGTGTAAGCCAAATAAGCCCTTTCGTCCCCGACTTGCTTTTTAGTCTTGGTGTTTCATCCCAGCAATAGACGCCATAAATAAAACAGTGTGTCCGGGTCTCTGCCTTTGGTGGTACCCCACATCCTCTATTAGGTTCTTTGGAATTGAACTCAGTATAAAATGCCAATCTGATCACATCCCAGTGATGGAGAAGTCAGAAGCCACAGTTTCCCTTATGTTTTTTCTTTCTAAGATAGTATTATTTCTTCCAGATGAAGCTTCAAGTAAGAGGATAATGAGTGAAAAAGGAGCTACCCTTATAATCAGTGACAGACCTGCAAGCCAGCTACACTCTTAGCCCCCTGCAGGGGTTTTTGGACATGTGGTTTTATAGGTAAAGAAAGAATGCTCCTGAATTTCCTCTAGAATCTAGATGTGTGTAGGTAGCATTTGCCCAAACTGCCTTCATTTGTCTTGGTTCCCACCTAGTCTTATGGGAGCTGTTTGGATTTGTGAAAGCTCGGGTGTCTACCTAAAGGCTGGGGGTCCTACATGGGCTCTGCTCCCTCTGTCTCCATCCAACCCTCCTCTCCATTTTCCTTTGGGATGGCTCCCTACGTCTGACTAGATTCCTTTGTGGTTTTCTGAGTCCCAGTGCTATGTGCCTAGAAACTTGTAGGGATTTGATGTATAATTCAAAATAAAAACATTGCAAGGTCCGTGTGGACTACCATGATTCATGCATTCAGGATATGATGAAAGAGATGATGCGGTACCAGCCGTTTCTTTAACTGAAGCTTCTCCCTCAACCAGAAGCCACACCAGCTGTTTCTGCAGGCCATCATGGACATTCAGGAATGCCAACAAGACTAGTTGTATCTCTTTATGTTGGCCCCTGCTGAGTTGCCCCATGTCTGAGAAAACAGACCCTTCGATCTGTGGTGCATGAAAGGGAGACTCCAACAGTTTCCTTTTTGAGCTGGGGTGGGGGCAATTTAAATTTTAGAGTTTGAAATCTTGATTACATCCAAATTATACTGTCAACTCAAGGGGCTGTTTTCTGACACTTCCCAGCATGCTCCACAGTAAGCAAAAAAGCCTGGTGCCATGCTTGGATTGTGTCTTGCTGAATTTATGATTGGCAACCCCAATTCCTCAGTGTGGCAGGGTTGGGGTGTAGGGGTCAACGGTGGAGACATAATGAATGGACTGACCCTGTTTTTGTCAGGTCTCAATCTCATGGAACCGGATTTGTTGCTAGGAGAACAGGTTGGATAAAGCAAGCCCACCCTCATGCTTTGTCTTGAATGCTGCTTGCTGCCAAGTTGGAGCTGCAGGGGGCCCTCTAAGATTCAGCTGTCTGATCTCAGACTTCCCATTCCCCGGAAAGGCAAGCCAAAATAAACCTGCATTCTTTGCAAATCATCCAATCTCGTGTTCTATTACAGCAATGGCCTAAAGCCTAGTTGCAGCTGACCAGTGAGGTCTGCAAGAACCTTCCATGATTTATGACTTTCCCCAGATCTAGAATTTACAAGCAGAATTACCCGACACTGACTGAGAGGGAGACTTGCCAGGTCCTGAACACTTATCTATGGTGTACTTCAAACTTGCTATATAAATGGAATATTCTAGAGTCAGGTCATACCTTCCTCAGAAGGCATCTTGTTTGAAGCCAGGCACAACAGAACTGGCCTGTCATCCCAGCACTTAGAGGATGGAGGCTGAAGGAGCATGAATTCAAGGACAACCTGGGATACATAGTATGGCCCTGTCTTAAACGAAATGGAAGCTGGAGGATAAAACCACAGCTCCAGGGAATCTCTCCACACTCTGCGGGCACCTGTACTCACATGCACACATATCTACCTGCTCCATCACATATACATTATTAAAACAAGGCAAAATCTAATAAAGAAGCAAACAGATGACCTTGGTCTTGACTTGTTATTTCTGACCCTTAAGCCTGGATGCCCTAGAAATCCATTACGGATTCAAGGTCACCGGAAATGGCATCAAGATCACTGTGGTCTGATAAGACACAGGGAGTTATTTCATTTTTTTTTTTTTTTTGTACCTGTTGAGGTTTGCTATGTTGCCAAGTATGTGGTTGATTTTATAGAAAGTTCCATGTGGTTCTGAGAAGAAGGTAAATTGTTTTGTATTTGGATGGAATGTTCTATAGATATCTGTTAAGTCTAATTGCGCCATAACTTCTATTAGTTCCCTTGTTTCTTTGTTAAGTTTCTGTCTTTGTTTAATGTCTGGAGATCTACACAGATGACACCTGCTAACAATCTAAGCAACAGAGGAGAGGCTACCTTAAATGCTCTCCCCCAATAATGAGATTGATGACTGACTTATATGCCACCCGATAGCCCTCATCCAGCAGCTGGTGGAAGTAGAAGCAGACACCCACAACTAATCATGAAACTGAACTGGAATCCAGTTGCAGAGAAGAATGAGTGATGGGCAAAGGGGTCCAGACCAGGCTGGTGAAACCCACAGAAACAGCTGACCTGAACATCAGAGAGTTCTTTGTCCCCAGATTGATAGCTGAGATACCAGCATGGGACTGATTCAGACCCCAGGAATATGGGTTTCAGTGAGGAAACCTTGGAAATCTACAGGACCTCCAGTAGTGGTTCAGTACTTATCCCTAGCAAAGGTGTGGACCTTGGGAGCCCAATCAACATAGAGGGATACTCCCTGAGCCAAAACACATGGGTGTGGGCCTAGGCCCAATCCCAAAGGATACTATAGACTCTGATGACACCCTATGGAAGGCCTCCCTGGGGAGAAGAAAGGATATGTGATAGGTAGGATGTTATTTGAGGGGGGTAGTAGGGGAGGAGGGGAGGGAGTGGGAACTGGGATTGACATGTAAAACAATCTTGTTTCTAATTCAAATTTAAAAAAAAAAGGAAAAAGAAAAAGATCACTGTGGATCACATACCTTAGTCTAGAGATACTATTGAAGCGAATATGATATAACCAATCTGAGATAAATGCACATGGGAAACATAGCGACACACTTTAGTGTGCTGGTGAATCATGAATAAATGGCTATTATTTCTCTGTAAAGATTATATTACATCAGAAAGTGATCACACAAACTTCATCATGAGTACACTGCATATGTGCTAATATCTATGCATCTGGGGTGGTATATGGAGCATACTGTTAAGAAGTAGAAATAGGTTGGGTCTAGAAGGAAGGCAATGAACCAAATGGCTGTAAACCCAAACCCTGGTCAATCCGTCAAGTGTGTCTTAGAGTCAGTACAGGTTTTCACTTTGAGAACAGTATCAATATTAATTAAATCAACAAATAAGACATATTTCTTCGCGGGATTCCTTCCAAATTCTTTGTTTATTAAACTTAGTAGACATTAAGTTAGTATTTTCCTTTTGGATAACCCCCCTCAAGTATGCACCATGACTTAAAATATAATCTAATTATAAAGCACTCTGGTACTCCATGCCATCACTATAACTTAACACCACACGGAACATTACTGCTTCATAAACTGGATTCTTAAATACATGACAGGTGCTTCTCCTGGATTGTGGTCTCTGTGTCTGCTTTCAGTCACAACTAGGTTTCTTGTTTCTCACGGCTTGCCTGCATGGGTCTGTGAGAGCAAGAGCATGTGGTGTTTCTAACACCGGTTGCAAGAACACAAAGGAATGGGCAGCCATCCCCTCCTCCTTCCTAAGGACTGTGAAGCAGCTAGCCCTGAATAAGATGGCTCTGGAACTCACAGCTGGGGCAGAACCAAGTAAATGCAGAGAGGAAGCCACATCAAGCCAGTATCACAGAGTGACTTCTCACAAGGACTCTGTTGCACGGAGATGGCCTCTAGCAGAGTGGGTCCCCAGTGTGCATGAGTCCCACCCAGGCCTCTCTCACCAGGAAGCCACTGGAGCACTGAAAAGCTCTGTCTCTGTGTATATGAAGATGGCAGGGTAGAGGTGGGGTTCTTCTCCCCACCCCAACCACAGTGTGAGCCAGGACACGGGTGCCTCACGTGGAGAAAACTGCCACAGATCTCCTTATCGCTCCTGTAGCTCTTACCACACCATAGCTGCCGTCAGCACTGCTGCTCCTGACTGCCTAGAATAACAGGCCTTTCTGAATTTCCCAACTGGACCAGTCAACTCTGAGGGTTAAGCAGTAGGCTATAACCTGTATCACCAAACCAAGTATACAGCACACATCTTTGCTCAACAAGTGAAAACCAGTGCTAGGAAACCCAATTTAAATTTCTTTGAGGCATTACAGATACACCTTTCAACCCAACATTTCTGAAAGTGTGGATTGGCATTAAGGCGGGAACAATGACTTAGCTGAACCTTGCGTCTTCTCTTAGGTACATATCAATACCCATATCATTTCTGTATTAATATACTACAGGGTCTTGATGGTGGTCCCAAGCCAACTCTTCACTGGATTCCAGTGTGGAAAACTTGGGGTACGAAAGGGGTTTGGAGAAATAAGAGAAGTGATGGCAGAGAAAGCTGGAGCTTGACATTTTTATCTTCAAAGCTCAGCCCAGAGATACATACAGGACTGGGAGGACAGAGGTAAGAAGCCAGCTGCCACCCTTGCTGCCACCCCTAAAGCCACTAGCTCCAACTCTCTGCAGACTTAAAGTGCAATCACTGCTATGAAGTTCTCAGGCCAGGGATCAGGCTGGAAGAAATTCAAAGCTGAAACTTCAAACACACTGCTCATGACTCAGAGGCTGGAAGAGGGGACAAGGGAAAGGCAATGGCAGATGTCAGGCATTCAAGTGCATCAAAAGAATCAATGTCCTTTCTCTGTGGGAAGAAGAGTCATAAATGGTAAAGAGTCTTGGTTTAGCAAATGTCTTCTATCGGAGGATACTCCAATGTGGTAGAGTCCAAAGGCAGGCAAAGGCAGTAAGCAATAGGGGCCCAGCTGTCCTCCCTGCTGCCCTGCCAAACAGATGGGCTCGACTGTCTTCCAAGTCTTCAGCTCTTGGTGAGGAAGAGGCACACTGGACCAAGGGCATCTGGTAGGATGTTGCCCTCTTCTCAGGCCTGTCTGGGCTGGAGCCATCACTGGGCCTCTGGCCATTGAACAGTAGGTAGCGGCCCCGGGCATCTTGCTCCATTTTGAAGATCTCATATTCCGTGTGAGGTAGTTTGATGCCCAGAGCCACACAGCCATTGGTGTGTGTCACGTCCTGTTGGATCCCCACTTGCCAGGAGCCCTCAGCCCCACACTCGTTCCCACTGAAGACATTGAGGAGGGAAGCTGTGGCAGCATCCATGGGAGTGACCTTCATGTGATTCACTGTGGAAAAAAGAGATGTCCATGACTCTAGGGAGACAACTTGGGGGAGGGGACAGAAACTTCCAGCAAACAAAGCTTTCTTTTTAAAACACAACCTGATTGCTTGCCTAGCTGACCACAGTAATCACAAGAACAGGCTCTGGTAGGAAGTTTCATATGCTGATCTGAATGGTGGTCATACTGAATAGAGCCAGTGAGCTCATGGTATCACACATTCTGCAGCCACAACTTAACTACAAGCTCATGGTATCACACATTCTGCAGCCACAACTTAACTACACATCTTCATGGTCCTACACTAGGTATCAGGAGTGATCTAGAAATGGTGTAAAGTACAAGGAGTGTGTACACAGGTTTTGTCATCATTTTACAGAAAGGGCTAGAGCAACTTTGGATTTTGGTGTCTTCAAGGAGTCCTGGAATTAATTCCCCATGAATACGAAGTGATGGCAGTATACTGCAGTTGTGGTCAGAAAACATGGGTGACATTTGGTGAGCCCAGTTTGCAGCTGATCACATCCGTGAGTGTGAAATACAACTATCCCAGCTTTCCTCCAAAGTGCTCTTTGGGACAAATGACTCCCCTAAAATGTTCAATAAAACTCAAATTTTATTTTTATGAAAAAGATCTTGAAGTACCCAAAAGATTTCACATCAAATATGTATATGAATTAACATTTTCACAGATTAATATGGGTCTATCAGCTGGGCATCTAAATGCAATTAGGTTAATTAGGTTGCAAACAAAAAAAATATGAAGAAAATACAAGCCCCAGACTTGGGGGATCCTTGGGGTCCTCCTAAAGTCTACACTTTGCATATAACAAGGTGGAATTTGGGGTCAGCAGATGGAATTTTCTTGGTTAAGTTTACAAGGCCCATGTATAAGAGCATAGTTCCTTAGTCAAAGGAGGGTGGCTATGATCAGGGCTTCCTTGAGGCAAACACAGACATCTCATACTAACTGAACTCCAATGCTACACTGGAGTGGCCAACCAGTGACCCAGCTACTCTCATTATTTGGTATTATTTGGTATTACACAGGGTTGATAACCACCTACTGACATTCAAGCTCCAGATCCCAGCTTCTTTACTTGGGTGAGTGGTGCACAGCATGAACTTTCCCCCATGATGCTCTTGGATTTAAGCCTGGGGCAAGCTCTTGTGTGCAGCCCCAGCTCATATTGTAAGTAACAACTCTGAGCATCAGGAGATAATCAGACACCTGCTCCATATTCCTTGTTTACGAAAAATAACCAGTACACAGTAAGCCTGATGCTACTAGAGAGGTTAGGTTTCATTGCAGTAGCATTCTTGACTTACATTACAGTGCCCATGTGATGCCTTGGTCCCATTGTTCCTGAGTGTCATATGGATGGCAGGTACTAGCCTGTTCTGAGCAGAAAGGAGCTCAAATGTTATTTACAAGGATGCTTTGAGGAAGTCCTAATTCTAACTTCATCCCCAGCATCTCAAGCAGTCTCTGAGGTTCTGCCCTAACTGAAATGTTCCAGAGATGCTCTTGAGCTGTGCTGTGAAAAGTAGAGGCAGTAGACTTACCTTTAAACACAAACTCCGTGCCACCCATGACCCTTGAGGAGAGCACACCGCGGCTGTAGCGGCCTCGAGCATAGATGGTGAATGTCGGGTGTTTGCAGACAGGGTCCGAGTAGTGGTAGTAGTGCCCTTCCCAGGTGTTGTTGTTGTCATGGAAGATGAAGTGGCGGGTGAGAAAGAGGACTTCGGGGCGTACCTCACAGCGCTGGCTCACCCATTCCCCATGTAGGCCAATGGTCAGGTCAGCCTTGGGGGGCAGGATAGGAGGGTGGTGTTCGTCGGAGCGATAAATGATCCGGCAGGCTATGCAGGCATGGTTGTGGTTCTGAAGCAAAGAAACAACGACATTTGGAGACTTTAGTTTTCCCATGAGCTCAGTATGCATGTATATCCCTCAAAATGGGAGGTTCACTTAGACTGGACACTCAGGACACCATCACTTAACCCCCAAAACAAATGGAGCCAGAGAGTGGAGCATGGGGTGTATCCGAATATATACTCACCCCAGTCCAGCTGTCATAGGACAGCCTGCCTTAATGTCTGTTATGGCATGGACTCTTTAGATCCTGTTTGGGTTTCAGACCATAGGCTGGTGCTCAATTTTGAAAAGGAAGGAAGGTAATGCCTCACATTCCAGAGGATTTGTGTGGGTGAGGATGTGGAGAAACCCCAATTATTTACCCTGTCTGCAGGAATGGTACAGTCTTCATTGACAAAGTGGTTTGGTTCCTCAAAAGCTTAAACCTAGTATTGCTGTGTGAATCCAGCTTTTGCCATGCTAAATACACATCCAGAAGAATTCAAAGCAAGGGCTTTGACCCACAATAGCCAAAAGGAAAGCAATCTGACTGCACAGCCACAAATGAATGGTGAAGCATATATGATGGCAGAAAATTCGGCTTTGAGAGAGAGGGTGCTGTGCACAGAATACAACACGATGAACCTTGAGGACATGGTGCTAAATGAAAGAAGCCAGTCATGCAGACATACACAGTGTTCAATTCCATTCACTTGGGAGACATGGACTAGTGAAATCTAGAGACGGGAGGTAGCAGGGTGACTTTGAGGGACGAGAAGGGAGGTAGAGATGGAGAGGCCAGGTATAATCGGCAGAACTTCAGTTTTTTTATAGTCTAGCATTCTAGATATGAACAGTGGTGAAGGCTGTTCAATATTATGCATGTTACTCATGCAATTTAACTGTACCCTTAAAATGGGTACCCATGAAGCAGATTTATGAGTATATTTCAGCACAATTATATTTTTAAATAATTTTAAAACATTTTTATTTATTGATATTTTATCTCTGAGGGCTCTGCATGTAGGCCTGCATGCCAGAAGAGGACATCAGATCCTATTGTAGATGGTTGTGAGCCACCACGTGTGTTTGCTGGGAATTGAACTCAGGACCTCTGGAAGAGCAGCCAGTGCTCTTAACCACTGAGCCATCTCTCCAACCCCACAATTAAAATTTTAAAGGAAGAAACTGCAAAATACACTAAGGAAAACAGAGCTGTGACTGTAGATGAGAGGAATCGCTGGGTCCCTTTGATAAAGTGAATGCAGGAGGTAGAGGAAGCAGATAGAAGGGGGTGGGGAGAACTCTGGGGTGTGTGCACAGGCTGTCCATGAGTGCCCAGAACCCAAGGTTCAGAGATTCTTAGCTCTTGAAATGCTTTCTTTTCCAACTTTCTGCAGCCTGAGGTCCACAGTAAAGCATGCTCTTACTTTCAGGAGGCACACCTTGTGGAGTGTTTTTGCTTGGTGCCCATATCATAGATGTCAACTCTGATTACCCTGCTTGTCTTTAGAGCTGGCAACCAAAACCTCTGGTTGTCAGTCAGTATTGGCCCTAGGCACAGCACCGTGAGCCTGGCACCTACTGACCCACAGGATAACTTTAACCCAGGGTCTTCTCCATGTTTGTATTCCTCCAAGTCAGTACAAGGCCCAAGGGGTGAACAGAGCATGGACTACAGCCTTTGATCTCAGCCCTCTAATCATGGAGGCACACCTCACTAGGACCTGCAGCCCCACTCTCCCAGCCTATATGTGTCCTGGTCCACAGTCACACCTTCACCCCTCCCAGGGAAGGGAAATACTTCTCAGCATTTTTCTTGAAGTCAAAAATTCACCTCCTTCACCAACGTATGCTTGTTGCCCTCATACAAGTGACTTGGCAATGGTGACAAGCTTGCCTTTCTGGAAGACTGTGGTAAGGGTTGGAGGCCAGGTGGCTGCCACCTGCCTCTTCCACATCCCCATTAAGGGAGAACCCTGTCTTCACTTGATCCTCTTTAACCATTAATGACCTTAGTTACAACTTATAGTAGAGAATGCTTACTTTGTCCCTGTGATGTGTGGCTTGTACATCGTGAGATAACTAGGGGTGCAGAGTTAAGGAGAAGGCCAAGTGGTCCCTGACTCAGGGTCCAGGTGCATTTGCTGGCCTGGGCTTCCTGCAGAGGACCTTTAGGCACACTGGAGAATACAAACTGAGTTCCAGCCTGTGACCAGCTGACCAGAGGGAGACAACAAGTAAGTACACAGCCCATTGGAACCAGTGTTGATTTAGAGCAGATAAGGGCGGCTCTCACCAGATCCTGAAGGCTTAAGCCAGCCCCACTGCCTGCCTCACAGCTGGTGGCCATGACAAGTTACTCATTTCCCTCTGCTTCAACTTCCTCACTTATATAGTGGTCACTGTTGTACACACTTGCATAACTGCTGCAGGAGAGAACTGGTAGAGCAAGGCGGTTCCCACTCAGTGCCCACACTTGAGGAGACCAAGGCAATTATGTCTCCCTGCATGTGACACAGTCCTCTGGTAGGGAGGAAAGTACAAACTGAAGTGAAGGAGAAACCCCGTCCTGATCTCTGACAGGCTGTGTCCTCTCAGTAAGCTGCCAGTAGGTAAAGGTTCCACAGCTTTCACCCTCATTGGGTTGTTCTAATTTTTAAAGGCCAGGATGGAATGTTCACTTGGTGTCTATAACAAGGTACACCCTGGGGCTCCTACACAGAGCAGAGTATGCTAGAATTAGCATGAAGCTGATTCGTAATAATACCGAGGCCCTGTCCAAGCATGATGGTCCAAAGCACCTGCAGGTGGCCTGCCACATTCCAGAAAGAGGAGGAATCAGAAGCTGATGTTCAGTCAGGGTCAGAATACGGACCCACAGTGTCCTCAGTGGTCCACAGGGAGCTGGGTCCCCTCCCTGCTGACAACTCCACAGCAAAGGTGCTCGCTGCTGTGGAGGTCCTACAAGGTTCTGAATCACTGTCTTTCATCCATCCCAACCTCCACTGCTTCTCCATCCCACCTTGCACAACATGAATTTCTATATCTACTGGAAATTTAGGAACATCCACTGTGCCTCCTTTCATTTCTGGCCTTTCTAGGAAGTTAAGTCTCAATCTCCGAAAAGATACGCTTTCTGCTTCGGCAGCAGTGTTGGTTCAGGGAAAGCACAATGCTGATTGAAAAATATTAAAGACCAATGCTTTTTAGTTCAAAAGGAAAAGGCTGGGTGAGAGGAGGGCACAGCTGTCACCCAGGCTGTTCCATTGTGGCGCCATAAGTGGTAGGTTGGATGTTAATGAGGAGCACTTCTTTAAGAAGAGGAGGCAGGAGTCCAGAACTCCAAAAGGATTCAGCTGGCCTATGGTCCCTCAGATGAATGGTGCCTCTGAGATAAAGGGTTTCAATTAGGCAGAAGGAAAAAGCAGGCTGTGCAAGCGGGCCTATGGGATCCAGGTTCATATGCAGTGACTGGAAGGAACCTGGCTCTTAGGCACTAGTATTACCAACTTCGTATACTGGTTGTTTTTGTTTGATTGTGCCTTTTTTAAAAAGGCTACAGAACCAATCATCCTAGTAAATTTTAAGTGCAAAGTTCTGCGGCATTAAGTCACATGGTTAGGTGGCCATTACCACTGTCTATCTCTAGAACCTTCTCATCTGCCCTAACTGAAATGAACTTCCATCTACACTCCCTCCTTTCTTAGTCCCTGGCAATCATCCTTCTACTCTCTGTCTTTGAGTATGACTAAGAACCTCCTAGAAGGAGACTCATGCACTATTTGCCATTTTGTGACATTAGCAAATGTAATCTAGGTCCACCCATGTTGTAGCATGTTTCAGAAAGCCCTTCCGTTTTAAGGCCTAATAACTTCATTCAGAGACACACTCTGCAGATCAGTTACTCTGTTTGTAGACACTTAGACTGCTTCCCACCTTTTCACTGCTGGGAATAATGCCATGAGCAAGGCTGAATGACAATGTATTTGCATTTCTCTTCCAATATTTTCGAGTATACACCTAGATGTAAAATAGCTCCAGCATTTGGTGATCCAGTGTTTACTTTTCGGAGGAACAAGCCTGTGTCCCACAGTAGTTGCACCATGGACATTTCTATCAGCAAACTACAAGAGTTCCAATTCCCCACATCCTTGCCAACATTTATTTTCCACTTTTTACCCCCCTTTGCTAACAGCTGTCCCAATGGACGATTTGGTATCCTATTGTGGTTTAAATTTATACTTCCTTAAGGATTTGAAAAAGTGCATACCTGTTATTTGTATGATTTCTTTAGAGGAAGGTCTGTTTTGCCCACCCCCATCCTTTTTGGAACAACTTTGCAGTTACCATTAAGCAACCAAAGATGTCATAAGCAGAGGGTGTTTTTGGCCTCCGTAGACAAGGTCAACAAGGTGCCAGTGTTAGTCATGGGTGTGTTAGGAGATACTCCTGTTTGTGAATTAAGCTTTAAAACTTGTTTTCTTACATTCTTATACTCTTTGGAATGACTAAAAATTAGAGGGACCTATAGCAATAACTTCACAGAATCAGGGCACAAAGCCTGCATGTTGTATTGCTCTACAGCTCCTTTTCTAGGGCAGTTTAATGAGAGAGCTTTTATAGATGAGCGGATGAGAACTGCATATGGAGATTTTCCAATGAAAGTTGATTTGCTCCACTGAATAGCATTTGCTCTACACTTGACAAATGTCCTCTCCTCAGCTCACCAACTGGGCTGTGTACAGCTCCATTTCCCTCCATGTTAGAAAGGGCTATTTAAAGTCAGGGTTTCTGGATACACGTGATTTGAAGGTTTAAATCAGAGGAGCCAGGAGGTGTTTACTTGCTGCAGTTCTTTACACCCACTATAAAAAGCTTTAATCTGGGGATCCAGGGTGCAGTGGAGAGGCAGAGTACTTGTCTGGCATGTAAGTGACTCTGGGTTCCACTCTGTATCAGGCCTGGGGTATAGACTTAGCTCAAGAGCATTGGAGCTAGAAATAAGCATCATACAAGTGTCCTCT